TGAGAAAAAGTTAAGTCCGGACCTCTTCTTTGGAAACAAGTCTCCAGGGTGACATGTGACCTCCATATCTGATTTATAGCCCCCTTTGGCCATAATTTCTCCAACCTGACAGACTGAATCCTGTCTTTGAGATAACAAATTTAGGAAAACTGTAGTATCAGCTCTACAATTCAGTATTAACTTATTATAGTTGCAACTCCATGCAAAGGCTGTACAGTAGAACTTCTGGTCACAATCATAATTCGTTCCATAACTTTGGTGATTTCTTTGTCTTCTAATGTTTCGTCTTCAAGAATTTCTGAGTCAGGGGTCATGTTTGAGTATGTATTCATGACCAGATTCAAAAATTTTGTGAATTTTTGGGTTGGAACCCGATTTTGGTCATGGTCAGAAGTGTTCGTGACCAGAGGTTCTATCGTACCACCTCTTCCCCTCAACTTAGCAGTTTTCTGTCCCTTTGATTCCTAGTCTTGCCCACTTCTGCTATAGAGCTGCATTCCTGTCAAAGAAGCATCTGAGTTGAGTTTCTAGAGCCATTCCTAGAGGAAAAGCAACCCATGACACTTGCTGTTGTCTCTTTGCCAAATCTTTTCAGACCAGACATTATTGACCCTGCCATCCTTCGTCCAGGACGTCTGGACCAGCTTATCTATATCCCATTACCTGATGAAAAGTCTCGTGTAGCGATCCTCCAAGCCAACTTGCGAAAATCACCAGTTGCCAAGGTCAGTCAAAGCAGGCAAAAATGGGCATGTAAAAGTAAATCAGCAATGGATATCAAGGTCCAGAGGTGTCACCCATCCAGTAGAGGAGGACTGATTGTGACAATCTTTAAAGTGGGGGTGTGGCTCAGTCTTCCCTGAAGTTCTTTCGTGTCAAAGTGAGGAACAAGATGGCAGAAGAGCCGTGGTGGTGGTGTAATTAGAATGCAATATTATAGGCTGACTCTGCTCACTGCCAGGAGTTCATTCCTGACCGGCTCAGGATTGACTCAGCCTTCCATCCTTCTGAGGTGGGTAAAATGAGGACTCAGATTGTTGGTGGAAATATGCTGATATTGTAAACTGCTTAGAGAGGGCTGTGCAGCACTGTAAAGTGATATATAAGTCTAAGTGCTATTGCTATCACTGCTCATTCTATGGACAAGACCAAATTGCTCCAATACAGAAAATGAGGCAGTGGCTTTCACTCCTTTTTATGCTGATTCATCATGGAAGGCTGACTTAATCGGCATCTGGTCAACTCCTTAAACACATTTTTGTTGCCCTCAGCTTTTATCTCTCATTTTTGTCTTACTTTGATAACTTGGGAAGGGAATACTTTAGCTTGTATACCTTTTCTCAACAGGATGTCGACTTGAATTATCTGGCTAAGATCACACATGGCTTCTCCGGTGCTGACCTCACCGAAATCTGTCAGCGTGCCTGCAAGCTCGCCATCCGTGAGGCCATTGAGATGGAGATCAAGGCAGAACGGGAACGGCAGCGTCAGAAGTACGCCGCCATGGTACGGACACAATATTTTCCCTTTTCCATTGAAAACCTTCCCTTACCTCAACCTCTCTTCTTAAGAGCGTGGTCTCCACCTTGGGGGCTACCGCCTGCCTGACATCCTTCTCTTCTGTGTATTGTAACAGGATGATGATTATGACCCCGTGCCAGAGATCCGGCGGGATCACTTTGAAGAAGCAATGCGCTTTGCACGCCGTTCAGTTAGCGATAATGACATACGCAAATACGAGATGTTTGCTCAAACATTACAGCAGAGCCGTGGCTTTGGCAACTTCAGGTAACGTTAGAACAAGTTTTTGCTTGTTCGATCCCCAAACAAATAAAGGTACCGCAGCATTGGGGGAGAGCGGGGCACAGGGGAGTTGCATCCCTGACTTTTTCCTTAAAATATCAGTACAATTTCATTCATTAAATTTGGGCCATATCAGAGGCCCCAAAATAATCGATTGCTATAAATGGAACAAGCAGTGTCTGCAACAAAGTGCAGCAGTGCATAAAAGTGAAATCAGGATGTCAGCAATTTCAATCTCCTATTCCCACCCAATTTCCCTGAATGAAACATGGGATATAAACCTACTTAAAGAAGAATTAAAAAAAAATTTTTTAAGAGGGATATAAATTTAATAAATACTTTGGTTATGCTGTGCAATACTAAACTTTTTAAGAGTTATATCCATCCATTGGATATTGTGCTTCTTAAAAAGTGCAATGCAGCATGTACCCAAGGGTGACTACAGCCCTTTTATTAATCCATGGCCACATTCCTGAACTGGTTCAGTGGTGGGATTCAATTTTTTTTACTACTGGTTCTGTGGGCGTGGCTTGGTGAGCGTGGCAGGGGAAGGATAGTGTAAAATCTCCAGTCAGAGGTGGTATTTGCCGGTTCTCCGAACTACTCAAAATTTCCGCTACCGGTTCTCCAGAACTGGTCAGAACCTGTTGAATACCACCTCTGAATCGGTTGCAAATTGAACACTGTGATAATGCGTAGCTAGTTCCAGTTAAGATATCCATTGTTTCAGTAGAGTGAATAACTCAGGGTTTCTCCTGAACTGAAATAGCCCTCCTCCTCCTCCTCCTTTTTCCTCCCCACAGGTTTCCATCGGGCAAGCAGACCAGTGGTGGAGGGGGCAGCAGTGGCAGCAACAGCGGGCAAGGAAGCCTCTTCCAGGAGGAGGGGGAAGACGACCTCTATAACTGATTGTACAAGAAGAAACGCCCCCTTGTGGTGGGAGTGGATGGTCCTCTGCGCTCATGTTATTGTGCTCTTTAATGTAAGGACTGACTGATGCTTGAGGCCCTAAACCTTGCCCTCCTCCTTGGTTGCAGATCTGTGCTACTCGACACAAGAAAACTCCATGCTTCGTTTTGAGGGGTAATGTTGGGTGCCACTTCCTTTTCTGTTTGGCTTGGCTGTAGCCAGAAAAACCCTTGGTTTTTCCACTCTTGTGTTACTTTTTTTTTTTTTTAAGATTAAAGCAGTACCTGTGATAATCAGAAGGGGAAGACAAAGCTTAAGCAGCTGTCATGAGAGTTTAACCATTCTCCATCAGACTGGTCTATCTGTTCTAGCATTTTGCTTTCCATAACTGTCAGGAAGCTGCCCTTTGAAGCTCAGGTGCAGGATTAAGGCTTCCCATATACCAGGCCTCTGCCCACAAATGCATCAGAATGCTTCACACCAGTGCCTGCTCTTGTATTGCCTTCCAGTTTAGAACTCAAGAGAATGGAGGATGGGCAGTTTTCCAACCCTGCTTGCAAGCCAGTCCAAACTGTTTCCCTTTGACCCCTCTTAGCCCACAGCAAAGCCTTTGGACTAGTAAATAAGGTGGATTTCAACAAACTCTGGTCTGTGTTATTAGGTGACAAAGACTTCTGAATGCCCTATAAACTGAAAGCGCATGCATCTTGCACTAGGAGGAATTCTATGAAGGCTGCAGAAAGCAAAACATGCTCAGGGGAGAGAGATAATGGGCATATCTATACAACATCCTTCCCTGGGTATAAAGACTGCCAGCCCTCTGGCTGTTTCCAAAGAATATGCCTGCACATTGTTGCCTGTATCTTACTGTCTACTGCAACTGGGAATTCTTACTCTCCTCTGGATATTTTCCTCTTATCTTGTCTCAGATACTGCATATGGGCACTGTATCGCGATACTGTGTATCTTGTGTGAGGCAGGGAATCTCCTGCCTCAGCTCCTTGCGTAGCTTTTAGTTTACAACTACCATACTGATTCTCACAGCAGTTCCACTTTCTCAACCTCTGGCACCTATTTAGGAGCTGCAGAGATTCAGACAACCACTAAATGGCAGACGAGTAGTACAGAATCTCTCATTTTTGCTGTCACCAGTTGTCAGTAGTTAAACAATCAACTCACAGTTTCAAGGATTTTTTTAAAAAATTCAATTGGCAGCCAATACAACAGAAAAGCAAAAATAGTGCATGGATTAACCAAAGTATTTGTGTAGTGATGGAATTTCACCCAAAGCACCACCAAACATGGTCTTTTTACAATGTTGCCCAGAAATAAATAATTTATTAGAAGGTCAATGGACAGCAGAGACCCATTTCAGCTAAAGCTGTGTCACGTCGTGAGCTCAGCCCACTTGATAGTACAGGAACATAGCAAAACAGTTGTGTGTTCACAACCATACTGAACAATAAGGGTTGGTGGGACAATACCGGTGTGTTGAGTGGGGCAGAAAACTTGAACCTGGAGCAACAGATCTCCACCTTCACCTCTTTTTTTCAACTAATTCCCATAACGGTGATAATTTTCCTTCTGCTGTTTGATCCCATTTGTTTCCCAGCCAGGATTCTGGAAGCTTGATTTTACATGCTCCAGCTGCCTGTTGACAATAAGCAGCCACTGAATGAAAACAAAACATATGGAACAATAAAATGAGACCCCCGAGGCTGACTAGATTAGCTGGGCTAGCACAGGCGGCTGTGTGAAGCAAGTGCAAAGCAAGTCAAGGACATGGAAGAACATAAAAGCATGAAAGGCCAGAATGCCCCACTGAAGTGCTTTATGGTGGCATGTGCCTGGTGCTGATTAAGGGATCTCACAGGGTACGGCTATGTCACAGCCAGGCCCTACAGACCAATCATTTCAGGGTTTTCCCATTGTCCATGCTCTGTTCTCCACAGCCTCCCAGAGCTTGGAGTAGAGCGGCAGGCGGAGGAATCCCCTCGCAGTCTGTGAGTCAGTGTCACCAATTCCCCAAGGATGTTATCTTGCAGGATCATCGGCAACGATTTGTTGAAATCCATCCTAGGAAGGAACTTCTGCAGATCTCTTCTATGAGTAAATCATGCTGTGGGTCTACTTAACTCTTCTGAAAGGCGCTTCCTTAAAATTCTTGAGTTTGGGAGGCCCCAAGAGATCACATTTTCAGCCTTTTTTAAAAGTTATAAATCAATCTACGATGCCCATGAAAGGGTTCTCTAGAATTTCTAGGTTCGTGTTTAAATTAAAGCCGCCGTGCCTTTCTTTTCTCCACTGCAACTGCTGCGTGATCTACATGTGATGGTGAGACGAAGCGATACTTTGCATCAATTTCCCTGTGCAGAAGCACAGCAAATTTTAGACCCATTAAAATTCTTTTACACACTGCTGTAATGCAGCTGCCTCAACATTGTGGAAAATCTGCATCATAGGTTCCAAATATCCAGGTCATTTCTGGCAGCAGGTTAAATAGCCTGCCCTGACAGGGCTGGACTCGAATGGCTACTCTGTGGCTAGGGAAGTGCAACAGGATGATGAGGGAGGAAGGAGGCTACCTGGGATGTTTTCTCGCCTCAGGATCCACAAGAGCAAGATTCATACTCTTGAGAAGTTGCTCTTGCACTATGCAAGAAAGTCACAGGTAGCGTGATTCAGCTTTGGAATATAGCAAGAATAATTTCCCAGGCTGTTCACCGTGCACAGTGCAGCCTGTATCAGGAAAGACGTATGGCTTTAAAAATGCACTAAATCGTTTTCCTCTCAAAACATACTGGCCTGCTTTCATTTACCTGGTCAAGAACTATCTTCTGATACAGATTACTATCTGAGAGCAGACAAGAGTTCTTAGTTCCGCTTTACAGGAAGTATCAGGAATGTATAATGTATTCTTTACCACTGAGCAAAGCTCTCCATAGGTGTCCAGTAGAAACCATTATGATATCAAAATGAATTCATGAGCATCATGACTTTTCATTCACATTGTGATATATTTATACTCCCTCACCCTTTCTGTGGATGCCCTTGAACTATCCCCAAAGAACTGTCATATTTTCCAAGAAGATCGTGTATCTCTCTCCCTCTCATAAGAAAATCAGAAACAGGCAAGAGGCTGCTTCAAAATACTGAACGTCTTATTTGCTGCCAAGCAAACGGCCAGTTTATCTGTGGTCTTCCCTATACCACCACCACCAGCAGCAGCAGCCAAGATAGCTGATTCTGAATTCCAGGAAAGTTCAAAGTGCTTTCAAGTCGATCAACTCTTGTTTGCTCCACCCAATATTAGATGCGACCAGCAGCAACACTGCGCTCGGAGCTCTGGAAGGAGCTGGCCTCCCAGCGGTCAGAGTGTGTTGTTTTGAGGTCAGGGCGCCTTAGGAGTAGAGCCAGGAGTTTGCGCAGCACTGCCCGTCGCAGCAATATATATACCCATGGGTCCAGGATCTGGTTCCAGGAGGCCAGGCGCACCCCAAGGAACAGCAGTTCTTCATAATTCAAAGCTTTATGAGAGTTGCTCACCGATAAGATGACAATGACCTGAGAACGGCACAGAGAACAAGGGCAGCAATGTTATATCAGCCAATGAGAGAACAAGATAATGAGACTGTAGGTTTATATGGTCCACTCCTTCCCAGTGACCCTAAGAACTTAGAAACAGGTATTAACTCTGTGTATACATTAGCTTAGTCCACATAATAAATATACCGTTCACAACCCAGCCCTTTATTTGTGTGCTGATAAGGGCTTCTCAGAATCAATTGAGTGATTGCTTGGTTCATTCTTTGGGCTATTATACCCAAGCATAATGTCAATTTGATCCAAACTTTTAACCTCAAGAAGTTTTCCAGTTAACGTTCTTTCCCCTCTAATCAAATAGTTCCTTACATAATCAAGGTACTGTGTTTCGTATGAACATATTTCCAAGAATCTTCCTAACACCCAAGGGCATCTTATTCTAAGTTTACCCAATCTGATGCTCTCCATATTATTTTAATGTAATTTTTAGTCAGCATGGTAATAGAACAACCATAGCCCTTTAAAATAGACCAGACCGGGAAACAAAAATCATGTAGATCAGTACTATGTTTATTGTAGTTATAACAACAAAATATGCTGACTCTGTAAAGCACTTCTTAGAGAGGGCTATAAAGCACTATGAAGTGGTATATAAGTCTAAGTGCTATTGCTGTTTTCCAAGTCTGAACATAGCTCCCCTCTCACTCCAACTTTATGTGAACTAGAGAAGGGATTGTTTGACACATGCCAATTCCCCACCTTTTTGTGCCTCAAAATATGTGCTAAACGCCCTACACATTTCCATTGCTTCTTTTCTGTTTTGTTTTTTTTACTCACCAATAATGGACTCCAACAAATACAGGAGACCACCATGATGCCTGCAAGCTGCACAACCATTTCAATGTCATGTGCTTTGGTTTTCCGCCGACCGCATTTGCGCTGACCACGAAGACGAGCTCGCACCAGAATGACTCCGCTGAATGTGTTGCAGATGAGAGAGGCCACCAGAGAAGCCAATCCCAAAAGGGAGAAGAGCATGGCAAAAGCAACCTCGGACCATTCTTCTGCCCCTTGCACCTTGATAAAACACCAAGTGTTTTGGGCCTGTATATCGTATTTCCCAAACGTGCATAGAGGCAAGAGAGCAATGGCAAGAGCAACGGTCCACAGTCCTGCCAAGGAAAGCTTCGTTCGGCCTGGCGTGACCACTGCAGCATGAAGCAGAGGACGAGTGATGCCAATGCAGCGCTCCACGGCCATCATGAAGCCCAGAAAGAGCGGGCATAGTCCAAAGAATACCATGGAAGCCCCAAAGAATTGGCAGAGAGCTCTAGAGGGATCCATGGCTCTCCAACCACGCTGTGTGGCATACAGTTGCAACACAAAGGAGCCTGGGATGATATGGCCTGCTAGGTCTGTGATAACCAAGCTGCTGGCAAAAAGCAGGAATGTGGCCTTGGAACGACGCCGGAAGCGGGTGTAGGACTGCACTAGGATTACCAAGGCCACGATATTAGAGATTGCCCCCAAAGTCATGGAGAAGATGGGAGCAGCAGGAGAAGGAGCACTTGATGGAGTCTTCACCAGTTCTGTAAGACCCAAGGAGGAACTGTTCACTAGATGAATGGCAGGTGCTTGAGAAGCATTGGGAGGGTGCATACTAAACATCCTGTCAACGGCTGCTTCCAGGCTCAGGCATCTGCGAGGGGGGAAAACAAGATTAGGCCCTCCATTTCTGTCCTATTTGTTCCCAGCCACCAGCTCCTGCCAAACCCCCAAGAGAAGCCAGTTTTCTGTATGAACTCCATCGTACTTAATGTAGTTTCTCCTAACTTCCCCTTTTGTGTTGTCCTGCCTGGCTGACTTCTCTTGTATTTTTATTTATTTTTTCTTAATTTACAACTGATTTCGATTACATATTTTATCATAGAAACCAACATACGTATTTTCAATGAGGAGGAGAACCAACAGAAACACGATCGGGGAAAGGAAGTAAGGCTTTCATGAACAAGTAACTAAGTAAATTCTTTTTAAATAGGGAATTTTCTGCTTATGGTTTAAAATCCACAGGGCCTTAACTTAGGCACCTCCCCTTCAATCAAAAGATCCCACTCAGACTGAATATTAACAATGCCGTCAATTTCCTGGAATTAAGCCCCAATTACCTCAAGGTAGTTCACTTCTAGCTAACCAAAAGTACATAAAGTCAAATGGAGCAGCTATCTCAGGCAGATTTTGGCTACAGGTTGTCCTATGACTTATAACAGTTCATTTAATGATCATTCGAAGTTACAACAGCCCTGGAAAAAGTGACTGACTTTTTTTTCACATGACCATTGTAGCATTCCCCATGATCACATGATCAAAATTCAGATGCTTGACAACTGACTCATATTTATGGTGGTTGCAGTGTCCTGGGGTCATGTGATCACCTTTTGTGACCTGACAAGCAGAGTCAGTGGGGAAGGCAGATTCTCTTAACAACTGTGTTACTAACTTAACAACTTGGCAGTGATTCAGTTAATAACTGTGGCAAGAAAGGTTGTAACATGGAGAAAAATTCTCAGTTAACAACAGAAATTTGGGGCTCAATTGTGGTCATAAATTGAGGTCTTCAAGGAAAGCAAACTTTTATATTTCTACTATTTGTGATCTGTTGCCTCCTGCGCTAGAGTAACTTCTCCCACTCTAATTAAGATGAATGTTGATTTGGTGCTAATCGGGTATCTGTTAACATCTCTTCAGCGATGCACAAGATTGCCTTATTGGGGTCCTTCCAAATAGCAAGGATAAAATATCTTCCCAATGTACTTTATATTTTAGCATTACTAAGGAACTTAAGTACGATTTTGCAATTCTGTGAAAGAAAGATTAAGATTAAGGATATTTTACAATAGTGACAAACAGGTAAGGGAGCTATAGGGGGTAAACAGAACTAAAAATGGAAAAGTACCATATTTTATATTTTATTTTATAACAAGTTCTTTGTTTTAATTCATAATTACATTATTCTTTCTGTCATTTTATTTGAACATATAAATAGGGATTTTAAATTTACAGTATAGACATGTCTAATTTAATATCAACACAATAAATCTTCCGACTCATGTTTTAGATTACAGATGTCATCGTGAAATTTAAGAAAGAACAAGCTGATGAGAACAAGTTAGGCTTATTTCTGAGACACCAGCATCTATGCTACAAATAGCATGTACAATAGAAAGGTATTATTAGATTTAATTAAATGTCAAATAATGTCAACAAGTTTCTCTTAAACTTTCTTTCAGATCTTCCAGATCTTTACAATAAACAAAATAATAAAGACTGAGGAAAATATCTATTGTAACATTGTAACATGTGGAGCAATTACTCAGGTTTTACACTATTTACAAAAACCAGGAGAATAGCTTTATGTCATTCTTATAGATTTAAGTCTAATCCAAAAGTCTAAGCTGATGACACAATGCTACGTATGTTTACTTAGATCAAGTTCAAAAGGTTTACTCTTTGATTATGTATATAGAAGATTCTTTCCAAATTTGCTAATATGTCCTGCCCTCCAACTTAGGGCAACATTTCTATATCCTCTGACCTGAGACATCACAATTGGACCTACTTCAGAGTAAAAAAAAAAAAAAAGTTCAACTCCTGTTGACATCATGGGTATATATCTTTCTAGTTTTCGTGGTAAAAACATGGATGTGGTTTGCCATTGGTGGCTTCTGTTTGTTTGCTAATTTGTTTTTTTTTTTAATCTTTTGGGACCTTGGATTTCATGATAAACTCTCACTGGTATTCACCAGAACTGAATATCTCTAGATATAGCTCTCTAGATATACAAAAGTCCTGCTATTTATACAAACAGAACAACTGCGGTATTACCATCTCCCCGTCCAATTACTGTCCTGCATAACAATCGCCTTGAAAAACCCTGAAAGATTATTTCTGTAATCTTTGTAAAAATTGTATTAGTGTTAATAAAGGTAGTACTGTATCATGCCTTTTAAAATTTCCCTGCACAAAACAACAAAGAAGTCTTTCACTTATGTACAGTTTGCAAGAGAGGCAAACCCTTCTGATGTTGGATAATGGTCTAAATTCATTTGGTAAAACCAGAAGCAAATTGTGTTAGTCTATAGCTATCTTATTCACTTTTGCAGCAGGCATGCGTGTTTAAATAAGCATATCTCTTGTACTTATCATAGGTACTGCAACTGGATTGCTCCATAAAAAAAATTATTGTCTAGCAATAGTAACCTGTGGCTATATTCAAAATCAGATGATACAATTATAACTTCCCATGTTTTTCACTGCCCCTATAGAAACAAAAACAGAATCTGGGAAGATAAATTGTAACATTCACCTCTTAGTATCCTCTAGTTATCCCACTAGTCACATTGAAGACAATCATTTTTCACTCTTTCTATAAAAGTTCTTTTGAAATTGGAATTAGGCTCTGGAGCCGCTCAGATACAGAAAATTGTGCTTCCCTCATGGCAAATCATTTAGGGCGCCTGAGATTTGAGAAAAGCAGATTTAATCCATATTGGGGAGGGTGAATCCAGAAGATGGAAGCTATTTAATTTTATTTTAGTGGTAGGTACGGAGCAGTAATAACTTATAAAATTGAAGAACCGCAATGTTTAATTCATTGATAAATTCATCAGTTAAAATATTTAACAAAAAAGTTAGTAGAAATTATTTGAAATTATTAATATATTGCTAAACATCATACAGGGAAGCATTACCGGTAGTCAAAAGTCATTATCTTCCTCTATATCATTAGAAGGAAAGACTTTTTCAGAAAATAGTTCTTGCCACAATTTACACGGGTATTAATCAAAGCAACATAAGCATCTAGCTTGAGGAGGGGGAAAAAAAGATCTACAAGTCTAATCAATCAAATTTTATATTAATCAATTTTAATTGGATACACCCACACACCAATGTTGTACAGGAGTAAATAACTTGTTAGGTTCACAATACTAGCTTCTTATATCCTTGCATAAGTTGTGTCCTTTGGCTGTCTTGCTTTTCAACTAAATAAAACCCCACACCTACACATTCAAAAACCCCATTGGCTAGGAAGTAACAGAGTGAAGTACAATACAGCTGTTTAGACCAAGTAGAACTGCCATATTCTAAACTACTTACAAACTATTAATAGGGTGGTGGGAGGATTTCCCCACTCTATTCACTACTTGAACAGGGACATGTGATAGAAGACAGGGAATAACTACCTTCTGGGAAGGCAGAACTGGGAATAAAATCGTGTCAGGTTGGGTTAAAACGTCACTCCAACAGGTGAGGAGTATTTGGGGATAGATGCCTCCCGTCTCTATTGGAAGAGCCTCCGAATGACAATTTTTCGCCCATTTACCGGGGATTCTTAGAATTAAGAGTTCCCGGTAACACTTACAAGAAAGAGGGTAGCTGTTTCGCTTCCTTCCAGGACTTTCTGAGTACTTTTCCCACGGAATAGTAAAGCCCAAACAATTCGAGCTCCTGCCTTCTACCCCATGTTTTTCTCTCCCAGAACGGCACCGATTCTTCTGGGTGCTTCCATCCCTAAAGCAAGCAAGTCACTCGGAAAGCAACTCAACTTCTTCAACACTAAATATCCCCCACCCCCCATGAATATCCTCCGACCAGCTTGAGCGCACCGCGGAGATCTACTGGCCAGAGATGTAAGACCGCCTGCTTCGCTTCTCCCAATAAGCCTTTTTTGCAACTAATTGGAGGCCCCCGAAGGATCCGTGGAAGCCCCAGCCTTTGACCCCGAGCATACCTGGGGCTGCTCCCTTCCTTTCCTCCAAGCCCCGGTTCCCTCTCCTCGTCCCAACGAAACTGGATGAAGAGTTGATCGAGCTCCTGAGAGCTTGAGTCTCCTTTGGCTCCCAGCGCATTGTTCCCTTGCAGGCGCTGTCGAAAGGCGGCCGCCTCCGTCGGGATCCCCCAGCCTCAGAGGGCTCCGCGGCGCTCGACTTCGCCTCACCCTTTCTGGCTCTGACTCCGGAGACGAGGGGCATGCCCTCCGCCAGCACTAGGGGGCGCTCTGAACTTTCCCTCCTCCCCCCTCCGACGATTGGGCCGCCTTCCATCCTCAGGGCCGGACCACCCCGTCCACCACACTCTGCAGGAAAAGTTTTCTCCTTCATCCTCCTTTGCGACCTGCGCCCACCTTCGGAAAAGTAGTGGACCCTCTGAAAACAACTAAGCTTCGTGGTCCGAGATGGGGCGCGGGTCTGTGTGAACCTTTTAATTCTCTTTAGTTACACGGGTTGGGAAGGGAATCTTTCCCACGAAGCTTTGAATTCTCCGCCTCTGTCTGTGTGTGTGTCTGTCTGTCTGTCTGTCTATCTCTTCTGTGGTCCCAAAGTTGCTTTTTTCTTACCACAAAAGCCCTCTGCGACAGAAGCAGTGTTGGGAGAGTTACTGCTTTTCTTTCCAGAGAGTTGCGGGGTGTGTGTGTCTGTGTGTGTGTCACACCTCCTTAAAGAGAGAGGCCAAGGGAGTGCCCATTAAGCAGCAACCTACAGGTAGCCTTCCTCTTACGACCACAAATGAGCCCAAAAATTCTGTGGCTAAGTGAAACATTGGTTAAGTGCCCCATTTAATGACCTTTCTTGACACAGTTGTTAAGTAAATCCCTGTAGTTGTTAAATTAGTCAAACTGTTAAGTGAGTCTGGCTTCCTCATTGTCAGAAGGTTGCAAAAGGGGATCAGGTGACCCTGGGACACAGCAACCATCATAAATATGAGTCAGTTGCCAAGGTTTGAATTTTGATCTGCCACAATGGTCATTAGTGTGAAAACTGGTCATAAGTCACTTTTTTCAGGGCCGTGGTAACTTTGAACGGTCACTAAATGAACCGCTGTAAGCCATGGACTACCTGTATTTGCACTTCTTCATGTTTCAGACCTCTGCAACTCTTGATTTTGAGGGCCAATAAAGTGGGACAATTTGGCAAACCTCTGTGCCTTTAGGGAGGCATATGGGAGCCAACGGCCACCCAATATTTGGAGGGAATTTGGTTGGGGGGGGACTAAGAGTGAAATCACATCACACAAATTTGTAAGATTTTGTAGGTCTACAGCAGTTTTCCTTTTTTTTTTTAATAAAGATTTTATTGTTTTTTAAAAACAAATATAAACAAACAAAACATAAAAAACATCAAGCTGTCTTCCATAGGTGTACATACAGTGTGCCGGTTGGTTTACAAATTGTTTTGTGCTTCCATTTCGTAGTCTTCAATTACAATTACATTACATATAATCTCATATTGTCAATCAAAAACTAAATACCTTAGTATCATTAATCAATCATTCGACTATACTTTTATTCATGTTTTACAAGATAACCATAATTTACTTAATTTATTGTATAACAGTTCATATTATCACCCCAAATCTATCCTAAAATCATTTTGTAGTTATAATAAAAAAGAAGTACATCTTTATATATTTATAATTTTCTAGAAATCTACATATTTCATTACTGTACTTTGTTATCTAACCATTAATAGAAAAGATCCCAAATTTTATAGAATTGTTTATCCTCTAATTGTTCTCTAATTTCAAATGTCAATCTACTCATTTCAGCACATTCCAATATTTTCTTAATGATTTCCTCCTGCAATGGTATCTTCTCATTTTTCCAGTTTTTAGCAAATACAATCCTAGCCTCTGTTAATACATTTACAATCAGGTATTTCATGTCTTTACTATATATTTCAGGTAAAATTCCCAATAAAAATATCTCTGGTTTCAACTCTATATGTTTTTTGTCATATTTTCCAACCACATGTTGATTTTAGTCCAGCATTTTTTAGCATCCACACAAGTCCACCACATATGGTAATATGAGCCAGGTGTCTGATGACATTTCCAACATTTTTCAGATTTATTCTTGAACATTCTTGCTATTCTTGTCAGGGGAAAATGCCACCTGTAAAACATCTTATACAAATTTTCTTTATATGCTGTTGACATTGTCATTTTATAATTTTGAGACCACAATTTTTGCCATTTCTCTAGATTAATCCCATATCCAAAATTCTTCCCCCAAGCAATCATAGTTTCTTTAACTTGTTCTTCTAATTTAATTTCTAATAAATATCTATACAATTTTTTAATCACCTTTTCATCAGTACCTGTCAAAATCTTATCTAAGTCAGTCAATTTATCATAGAAACCTTCTGTTTTAGAATCTTTATCATACCTTGAATGTATTTGCTCATATGAAAACCAATTCATCTTCATACCTTGTTCCTCTAGTTTTTGCATAGATTTAAGTTCACCCTTTTCATTCAGTATTTCACCATATCTAACTGTTTGTTCCTTTTTGTATATTATAGGATACGAAAATGCTTCAATAGTCAATAACCAGGCTGGAATTTTCAAATAACGTTGTCTTTTAACCGTCTCCCAGTTTAACCACAGAGACTCCCGTATATAATGTCTTCTAAAATACCCCTGTGTTTTAGTTCCTTTGTACCATAAAAAAGCATGCCACCCCAACAACAAATCATGTCCTTCTAATGTCAACAATCTAGTATTTCTTAACCCACATCAGATTTGTAGCCTGGTAGTACAATTCCCAATTAGGCAAACCAAATCCTCCTCTAATTCTAGCATCTTGCAAAAGTTTTAGTATTATTCTCGCTTTCTTACCTTGCCATATATATTTCAACACAATTTTATTTAGATCTTCAAAGTAATCTTTTCCAAGCCTAATTGGAATTGTTTGAAACAAATATAAAATTCTGGGTAATATATCCATCTTGATTGTTGAAATTCTCCCTATTAGTGACAGTTGTAAATTTTCCCATTTCGCCAAATCTAGCAATATCTGCTGTTTAAGTTTGATATAATTATTCTCTTTTAATGTACTACATCTTGCTGTCAAATATCCCCAAGTACTTGATCTTATTTGTGACCTGAATTTTCAATAGGTCCGCCAATTCTCCCTTTTGTCTTAATAGCATATTCTTTGTCAAGATCTTTGTCTTTATTTATTTTCAAACCAGCCACCTTTCCATATGTCTCTATCTTGTCTATCAATTTTGATGCTGTTTCTAAAGGGTCTTCCAAGATGAAAACCAGATCATCTGCAAATGCTTGCAGCTTAAATTCTTCCTTTTTGATTTTCATTCCTTTTATATTCTTTTCATCTCTAATATTTCTGTTTAGCATTTCCAAAGTTAACACAAACAACAAAGGTGATAGTGGGCACCCTTGTCTTCTTCCTTTTCTTATATTGATAGAGTCTGTCAGCTCTCCCTCTATCATTACCTTTGCCGTTTGCTTATAGTATATAGCTTCTATTGCTTGAATGAATTTTCTAGCAAAACCCAGCAGTGTTCCAGCAGTAATAACACGAATCGCCAATTCACATTGTCAAATGCCTTCTGCGCATCTAGAAATATCAGAGCTATTTGTTTTTCAGGATGTGCCTCGTAGTATTCCAAGGTGTCCAAGATTACTCTCATATTGTCTTTAATTTGTCTCTTTGGCAGAAATCCATTTTGATAAAATTATGGATGGATAAAATTATTTAAATATTTTTTAAGTCTTTCTGCCAATATTGAAGCAAAGATTTTGTAATCTGCATTTAGTAAAGAAATGGGTCTATAGTTCTTAATTTGTAATGGGTCGGCATCCTCTTTAGGAATAAGTGTAATATAGGCTTCCATGATTTAGGTATCTTCTTCTTTAACATAACTTCATTCATAACTTCTAGCAATGGAAGATTCAACAATTCTTGTAATGTTTTATAAAATTCTGCCGGAAGTCCATCTGGGCCTGGTGCCTTTCCATTATTTTGCTTCTTGAGTGCTTCAGTTAACTCCATCATCGTTATGTTGCTTTCTAACATTTTTTCAGTCTCTTTAGGTATCTGAGGTAAATTAGCATTCTGTAAGTACTACTTAACTCTCTCTTCATCAATATTCTCTTGCATATATAATTTCCAAAAGAAGTCTCGAATGATTTCCTTCTTCTCTTTGTTACCATGGCAAACTTGGCCTTGGTCATCTATTAATTACAATATTTTCCTTGATTCTTTCTCCTTTCTCAATTTATATGCTAACCATCTATCTGGTTTATTTGCGTCTTCGAAGTAGTTCTGTTTAGCACCTCTAATTTTCTGTGCTAATCCTTCTTTTTCTATTTGACCCATTTTGTGTTTAATTATATCCATTTTTAACTTGATGTCCTTTTTCTGTGGCATTTTCTGTAGCTCTTTTTCAAGTCTTTTATGCTCATCCTCTAGGGCCTTAGAAGCTAGTCTTTTCATAGTATTCCTTTTCCTTGTATAGTCTATTATCAAGCCTCTAGCATATGCCTTCATTGTGTCCCATACATTCTCAATTGATGTATCTTCTTTTTTATTTTCTCTAAAGAAAACAGCCAATTCTTTCTCCATCCACTGTGTAAAGTCTTTTTCCTTTAAAATAGTATTATTTAACGTCCATCTAGATCTTCTTTTTTGTCCTTTCCATTTAATTGTCATTGGATTGTGATCTGCCCAAGTACTTGTTTCAGTATTTATTTCTTGAATGTTAGGTATTAATTCTGTTGACATCCATATCATATCTATTCTGGATCATAAGTGTCTATTTGAATAGAAAGGGTTAGGGTTAGAGAGACCACCCCAAAGAGACCACCCCAGCAAAATTGATTTATACTGATGATGATGGAAGAATACTAATGGTGGAAATAATGGACAATAATATGAAAACACTCCTGATTGCAATATATGCTCCAAATGATAAACAAGAAGAATTCTACAAAAAACTACATATGAAAATAATTGAATTGGACTATGCTAATATAGTTATGATGGGAGATTTTAATAGAATTGTAGACAACAAATTGGATTATACAGCACAGAAAACAACAAAGCAAAACAGAAAGACTCTCCCT